CAATATTTTCTAATACATAAAGACATATAATAATATTCGCAATAATATTGCTCAATTAACAACAACAAATAAAATACAACTGAATTCCAAAATGTAGTCAATAAAATAAACGAATAAATTAAACTATAAATAAAACTATAATTGAATGAAATAAAATTTGTACATGTACATTTGTTGTAATATTTATATTAAGAAAAGAGGAATATCTTTACATTAAATGACAAAATATATATTATTTTATGACAATTAAACTAAATATCTAAGAACGTATATTTCAAACTAAAATGACATGCACATCAAAAAAAAAAAATATGAGTTAGATATTTTAAAATTCAAAAAAATATAATTCATAAAAATATAATTATTAAACAAAAAATTCTAATTAATAATTTTTTTATAATAATTATTTTATTTATAAAATAATCGTAAAATTTGTTTGGATCTATGGAATTCAATTATGAGAATAATCAAGAAAAGAAAATAAATCAAATTAAAAATTCAAAAATAAAAATGTTAAAAATTATATAATTATTTATAAAAAATATATGTAAAATCAACATCTATATTAAAATGAACTTAAGAAATAAATTCAAATTTATTTCATTCAATAGAATATTAGAGTAAAGATCATATATATTATACTTATTATAATTATAATAAATACTTATATAATATGCTTTACAAATATGTAGAAATTATGTAATAAATTTAATATAATACAATGATATTAAAAATTAAATGAAATCATAGCTATTTTTGTTTAAAAATATTTGAACATTTTAAAAATTTTTTTATAACATTTTTTTATAAAAATTAATTTTTGATATTTTTTTAGTTTTTTAATAGATATTTTTTAATAGATTTTAAAGTATAGATTTCAAGATATGAATTATTTTATTATTTTATTTTAGTAATGCATTTTATATTTTATTTCTACTCTTTATGAATTTATTATTTTTTTCTATTGGATGGTTCGATTGTTTATATTTTCTTTTTTTTTTTATTTTTTTTCTTGAGAATCTAAAATTTTATTAAAAAATGTTTAACATTTTTATCCTAATCTAATACTATTTAATTTCATTAAATAGAATATTATTCTATCTATGATAAAATTTTACAAATTTTTCACATAATTTAAAAAATAAAAATCATAAAAATATAAATTGAACATATAAAAATCAATCTGATTTTAATAAATTAACAAAAGCGGAAAAAAAGGATGAATATCGATTCTAAAGTTACTATATGAAGAAAAGAAAAAATTGTGAACTGCATACAAAATAATAATAATAATAACAATCAATAAATAATTAATGATTTTTTTCACAATTTTTTTCAGAATTTTTCCATGTGAAATAAAATTCTTACAATTCTAAAAAGTTCTGTATAAATGTTATGTAGCATTACAATTGCAACTATGCAGCATAAATAAATCATTAAAATGCTATATATTATATAAATACTACAAAATAATATCATAAAATAATACAATAATTAATTTTGTATTATTTAAATAAAAATTATAATAAATAATAAATAAATAAATTATAATAAATATAAATAAATAAACCAATAAAACTTTAAAATAAAAGAAACTAGTGAGAAAATATATTATTATAATTTATGTATAAAATATTATCAGAAACTAAGAATTTTAGAAAATTAAAATGAAGAAATTTTAAAAATCTTAACATATAATATTTATAATGAGAAATTTTGGACGAATAGAGAATACTCTAATTCTTATTAATCGCTAATATAGAACATATAATACAAAACATATAATACAGAATATATAATACAGAACATATATAATTATTATTTAATCTTGAAAGAAAATTATATTAACTTTTTTTCTTTAAAAAAAATTGAATTCCTTATTTTAATTCATATTACTTTAATTTGTATTTTCATCAATAAATAAATAAAATAATGCATAAAATATCTTTCATCATCTCAAAGAAGAATTATGTTGAAAATATATAAATGAAAATACAACTCTTAATAAGATGATAATTATCTTTAATCGCATTAGTCGTAAATGAGATGCGAAGGAGATATGATAATATATAAATAGATACCTATATAGATATAAATATATTCATTTTATAATTTACAATAATATATGGCAGGAACGATAAATAATTATTCTAAAAAAGTAAAAGTTTCTATTAAAATAAATAAACTAAATATTATTATTTACATAAACAAAATGAAGAAGAATATAAAAGGTAAGTGGATATCATGTCTACGAATGGAATTTTTGCTCATGTAATCTTTTTAATCATGATAGAAAAATATAATTATCGTTGATTATCTCATTTATAATTTTAGACATTAATCTACTTTATCCAAAATTTTATTTCCACATTAACTTATAGAGACATTCACAATTTGTACTGTTTAATGAAATTATTTATTCCGTTTATGATCATAATTTTATTGTGATGTGCTTATAGATATAATGATTGATGCAATTAAAACAAAAATTTTAACATGGATACCAAAAACTCAATATTCGTCACTAATACATCTCATTATCATTAATGAGATATTTTGCTTACGTGTATTTGAAATGAAAGGACAACTATGATATACTTGGAGTATAATATACACAACTATATACATTATTTTATATGTGTTAGTTATGCATGCAATAATAAACGTAAATCCTGATAAATTCTCTAAATATCTAAAGATTAGTTATAAAGTGGCTTCATGCGTTAACATTACATGCGTTATAATTTTTATAGTTATTGGAATTATAAAAACAGAAGTAAGTATTAATAAAAATATAATATATAGTAATAAAATTACTATATATATATAGTAATATAATATATAGTAATAAAAT